CTTGGTGAAGAATATAATCTTTGGAGTTATACAGCCCACACTCAAGTTCTAGATCCACCATGCTATCCTGTGGCTTGGGACAGCACATAGTCATCAGAGCATTACTTTCCTTATTAGTAAAGCAGTGACAATTATGGTATCTACAATGTGAGTTTAAAAAATTGAAGTAATTATTATATTTAAAGTGCTTAGAGCAGTATCAGACCCTAAGTATGTGTAAAAATGCTCAGTGTGTGTTAGTTTTATAAAAATGTGCCACTTTTTCAAAATTCTAAGTGAATTATGACACAGGTTGCATTTTCTTCATTATATCTTTACTAAAGGCCAGAGGCACGAAACTCATGCAAGAGTAGGTATTCCTTCCCCCAGCTGCCGGCACCGGCTTCCCTCTGGCACCTGGAACCTGTGCTTCCCTCAGGCGGACACCCAGGACCCAGGGTTCCCTCCTGCTGCCAGCAGGTACTGGGGGACCCCGGCTTCCCTTGCAGCCCCGGCTTTGTCCAGAAGGTCATCCGGAAGGACTTCCGGTCTAATTAGCGTATTATGCTTTTATTATTATAGATATCTAGGTACCTTATGATGTCCAGTTTTTAACCCTTAGCAAAGGCATGGCATTTAGCTGACTCTCCATTGTTTCTTTATGTTGTTAATAGTGGATTTTATCTTATTGTTGAGTTTCCTCCTGAGATATCCAGGGGCAAACCAGTCAATGTCCAGGTACTGAATGAGTTCCACCTGGCAATGTAAACAGCTCTTTCAGGAATAGGCTTTCTTTCTAAGAAAAGAAATGCTCAGAGTTTTCACTGTAGGCTGTCTGGCTAGATTAAGGAAGGGCTGGGGCTTAGCCATCTCTATCACTGTGGCAAGAAGGAAATTCTGGAGTGCTTGCCTGTAGTGTCCTCATTCCGGAACATTCTTGGAAAATGTTCCTCATCCACCTCAGCTGCTGCCTGGAGTGTCCTGGTGCTTACCCTGCATCCCCTGAGAGCCAGTTGTTAAAATTTCAGGAATTTGTGGATCCGTTGTGAAATAGTTAAACTAAACTTATATTAAAAACTAAGCATGTAAACTTACAACTAAGTGGATTTTATTAAAAACAAAATAATATAAACTCAAAACTTAATACTTCCTAATTAGTTCATCACATTTTTCTCTCATTTATGCTTTTGAAGTTATTTACTTTTTCTATGTCTGTGTGGTGGAAACGCCACATCATTCTGAGGTATGTCATGTCTTTTCCCAACTACGGGTTTAGAAATATATTGGTAGCTTAAAATCAAACATGGTGGGGAGGATTATACCACAGAAATTGAAAACTACAAATCAGGGCTTGATTTATTGTCTTAATTGATTGTTTAGAATTGATGAAATGATGGAGTAAATATTAATGATGCAGGCTGTATTCAAAAATTGTCAGTAGCCATGATGGTATGAACAGCACAAAAATGTGATGAAATATGATCACGTTATTCAATATTAGTTGTCTGATTCAGCAAACATATCGCCCAGGTCATTGATCTAAACCTGTGGGTTGCGACCCCGTTGGGGGTCGAACGACCCTTTCACAGGGGTTGCCTAAATACATCCTGCATATCAGATATTTACATTATGATTCATAACAGTAGCAACATTACAGTTATGAAGTAGCAACGAAAATTTTATGGTTGGGGTCACCACAACATGAGGAACTGTATTGAAGGGTCGCTGCATTAGCAAGGTTGAGAACCATTGATCTAATCTAATAAAAGAGAAACATGCAAATTGACCATACCTCCGCTACACCCAGCAGCCATGCCCACAAGCCACACCCACCAGCAAATCAGGAGTGAATATACAAATTAACCCAACTAAGATGGCGGCAGCCATGGAGCTGGAGTGAGCAGGAGGCTTGGGTTGCCCCCAGTGATGGAGGAAGCCAAGCTTCCCGCCTGCCCTGCTGGTCCTGAGCTCCGCTCAAGGCTACAAAGTTTCAATTATAGAAGATAAATAAATCCCAGATACTGGCTTCTAGCCCGCGGCCGTGGCCAGCCTGAAAACGGCCCTCAGCCCCTCACCCAGGCTGGCCAGGCACCCCAGTAGGGCCTCCCACCCTGAAGGGGCTGTGGCCAGCCTGTAAACAGCCATCAGCCCCTCACCCAGGCTGGCCACACCCCCATGGGGTGAGGGTCCCCGCTGGGGGGTTGGCCAGCCTGCAAACAGCCATCAGCCCCTCACCCAGCCTGGCCAGGCACCCCAGTAGGGCCTCCCACCCTGAAGGGGGTGTGGCCAGCCTGCAAACAGCCATCAGCTCCTCACCCAGGCTGGCCAGGCACTCCAGCAGGATCCCCACCCTTATCCGGGACACCCTTCAGGGCAAACCAGCTGGCCCCCACCCATGCACCAGGCCTCTATCCTATATAATAAAAGGGTAATATGCAAATTGACCCTAACAGCAGAACCACTGTGAATGACTGGTCACTATGATACACACTTACCACCAGGGGGGAGATGCTCAATGCAGGAGCTGCCCCCTGGTGGTCAGTGCGCTCCCACAGAGGAAGCTCTGCTCAGCCACAAGCCAGGCTGATGGCTGCCAGCACAGTGGTGGTGGCGGGAGCCTCTCCCACCTCCTCAGCAGCACTAAGGATATCCGACTGCAGCTTAGGCCTGCTCCCTGCTGGCAAGTGGACATCCCCCAAGGGCTCCTGGGCTGCCAGAGCGATGTCTGACTTCCAGCTTAGGCCTGATGCCCCAGCGAGCAGGCCTAAGCCAGCAGGTGGACATCCCCCGAAGGGTCCCAGATTGTGAGGGGGCACAGGCCGGGCTGAGGGACCCCCTTGAGTGCACAAATTTTTGCGTACCTGTCCGCTAGTAAATAAATAATGTTCTGAAATACTTCATTGGTTCACTTTAATCTTACTCAGGGCTCAGCAAACTTTTTCTTTAAAAGGCTATATAGTAAATATTTTAAACTTTAGGGGCTATGCAGAATCGATGGTGCACAGTATTCTTGAATTTTTTTATTGCTTTTTATTTCTTATGTATCCTTTAAAAATGTAGCAGTCACTCTTCGCTCAAATGCTGTACAAAATCAGGCCAGGGCTGGATCTAGCCTGCTGCCTATGCCCATAGTTTCAGACCTCTGGCTCTTATCCTTTAATGTCAATGAAAATATCAACCAGACATCAAGGATACATTCATTAATTGTACCCATGGATTGCCTGTGGATCCAAGAGTTCAGTAAAATTAAAAATACACACGAACATTTTGTGATAATCAGTTGGCTATGTGGAATTTATAATAATTATTGTATATTAATGTTTTTAAATGTGAACTACACAGCCTTTATATCAGTAACATGTGTAATACATTCATAAACACATATTTGTCTATCCGTCTATCTTTCCCTCCATCCATCCATTTATCTCCACATCTAGACATCTATATCTTCATCTCCATCTGTCCTTGAGCATTCCCAGCACATTGCTATGGTCCACCCTGCTTCTGTGGAGATTACCGTCAATGTTTTGCACTTTATAAACTAGATTCCCTGGACCTGGTGGCTCAGCCCCACCTTGGCAGTTAGTGCTGCCTTAGATCCCTCTCTCTGCAATCCCATTAAGCCACAGGCTGGGTAGTCCATTCTTTAAACCCAGCAGCAAAGCTATGCACCCTCACTGCAGCCACGCCTCTGGAATGATCCTTAATCTACATTTAAACAGAAAGTGAGAGCAAGAGACCCTCTCTAGCCCTTGTTGGACCCTCTCTTATGTCTGAGCTCATGCTGCTGTGGACTGGGGGGATTATACAACAAACAGTTATTTATCACAGTTTGGAGGCTGGGAAGTCCCAAGATCAAGGCTCCAATAGATATGGCCCCTGGTGAGACCAGTCTTCAATGTTTACAGATGGATGCCCTCTCCTCTGTCCTCACGTGGCCAGAGAGGGAGCTCTCAACTCTTCATCTCCTTGTGAGGGCACTAATCCCATCATGGTGACTCCACTCTCCGTACATAGTTATTGGCAACATGGGGGTGTGATGATCTTAGCCTTGATCTCTAATGACACATCTTTGCTCTTCGTGATCTTCCCCAATTCTTCCATTGCTGCCTTCCAAGTCTCAGCCGTCTCTTAATTTCTTGGCTCTCATATCCATTTGAACTGATGACTGAAACAAGATGATCAAAATCTTTTTTTTTTTATTGATTAAAGTATTACAAAGGGTATTACATATGTGTCCATTTTATCCCCCCGCCCTAGACAGTCCCCTAGCCTCCCCTATCCCCCAATGTCTTATGTCCACTGGTTATGCTTATATGCATGCATACAAGTCCTTTAGTTGATCTCTTACCCCCCTACCTCCTGCCCCCCAACCCTCCCCGGCCTTCCCGCTGCAGTTTAACAATCTGTTTGAGGCAGCTCTGCCTCTGTATCTATTATTGTTCAAAAGTTTATAATGGTCTCTATTATCCATGAATGAGTGATATCATGTGGTATTGTTCCTTCATTGACTGGCTTATTTCACTTAGCATAATGCTCTCCAGTTCCATCCATGACGTTGCAAATGGTAAGAGTTCCTTCCTTTTTAGAGCAGCATAGTATTCCATCGTGTAGATGTACCACAGTTTTCTAATCCATTTTAACCCTTTCAATGTCTTCAGTGTCTGTGACACAGTTTTGTATGGCTTCTGTAGTCATGATTTTTGTCTTCTTGATGTTCAGATGCAGTCTTGCTTAGCACTTTCTTCTTTCACTTTAATCAGAAGTTGTTCAAGTCATTGCTACTTTCTTCCAGTAAGAAGGTGCCACCAGCATATCTTAAGTTATTACGATTTCTTCCAAGGCTTTACCTTCCAAGGACCCTGCCTTCCTGGACTTTTCTAATGGCGGAGAAGGAAGATACCCAAGTCAGCAAGTAGATGTACCATGTGATGTCTGGTTACAGTTGATCCTGTAACTTTTAGGTCAGAGTGTGGAAGAAAGATGTATTATAATTCTCTTCTCCTCTTTCATTCTTTCAGCACTTCGACTGTTGAAGGAGGGGGTGGACCCCCACACTCCCGTTTCCTCAGGAGGGTCCCTGCTCCATCTGGTAAGAACTGTGATGACCAATATAAGTGTGGGTGACACCAAAGACAAGGAGACTCAATTATGGGGTCAAAACTCAGTAGCAAAATGTATATCTGACAGGTGATCAGAAAAAGGATGTTTCAAATTAAAAGTCTTTGATAATACATTTATATTTATGAATTACTTGCATTATAGTTTGTAAATAATGCCTTTGCAAATGGAGTGAGAGTCTTTGCCTTAAAGAAGATGCTTTTGTAAATGAATAGTATTCAACAAATAAGCAAGAGAATACTGAATCAATTACAGAGTATTAGGCAATCATCCTTTTATATCTATTAGTTGGTTTTGTTGCTCCAAATAACAATAGTTTGCTTTTGGCCTAGCTCATATACATGTAAATAAAACTAACTTTTGTTCTTTTGGAAACAAAATGAGGAGATTAAAGTGATAAGCTAGATGGGAAACACTTTATTAATTCTTGAGTCAATGCAAATATATTGCATTTGTATACTGTTACACATAGATGAAGGGGGAAGATGGACCTGAAATGCATTTAAGAAAACCTGGTGATGCCCGAAGGAACATGGTTCTCAGGGCTGAGCCTCCTTTTCCTGGGGTACTGAGTAAATCAAAACAAATGAAAAATTGCAGGTTGCCAGAAAGACAAAATTGCAGGGTTTCAAAATGACTTAAATACTGAAAAAGGCAATTTAGCCATCTAAAATGTCAAGTGTGAGTAGGTTGCTCTGCAGCTTGCCCTATGTTTTAGGCATTCCACATTACAGCACCTAAGCTCTAATTATGTATTCTAGGGTCAAGGTCTTTGAGAAAAAGGCAGCCTATATTTGTGTGAGCCAACAGGATAAGCTGTGGAAATCTCTGTGATTTTCCAGTTTTGTTTATTTAACTCAATTATTATTCAGTGAGTACTTGACTCTAAGGGTAGATTTTTATAGGACATTTCTCTTGGAAGTGCCACAATAACTTTTATGTTGGAGATTAACCATTTCCACTATATTGCAGATGGGTATTTGAGAAAGAGGTTTTAATGTTTTTTTTTGGCATATAAAATTTAAAGTTATCATCTATACACTGAGTGGCCAGATGATTATGACCGGCCAGATTATTATGACCACCCCATCAGTACTTCATTGACACTTCCAAAAATACTGAATATTGAAAATTTCCTAAGAAAATACTCTCAAGGTTTTATTATTATTACCAGAGGCCCTGTGCATGAAATTTATGCACTGGTGGGGTCCCTCCGCCTGGCTGGCAATTGGGGCCAATCAGGCCATGTCGCCCAGTCCTGACTGGAGCCGATTGGAGCTGGTGGCTGGGGAGGGACCGCGGGAGGGGCTGTGAAAGGGCTCCAGGGCGTGTCCAGCCCTGTCTAGCCCAGTCCCAATCAGCCAGACCCCAGCAGAAAGCTAACCTACTGGTTGGAGCATCTGCCCCCTAGTGGTCAGTGCACATCATAGCGACTGGTTGGTCCACTGCTCAGACATTTAGCATATTAGGCTTTTATATATATAGATTATTTGCATAACTAATTCACTTCATTGTACTGATGGGGTGGTCATAATAATCTGGCCACTCAGTGTATTCCTAATAAATACATCTGAATTTGTCTGTTTACTTGCCCTTCGCTAAATAATTCATGTATCAAACCTAAGGCAGGTATCAGATACTGTTATAGACAGAAGAGAAATAATGTCAACAAGTAACAATATCAGAAACTAGAAATTTAGTCTCGTGAGAGCAATATAGATGGAAACTCAGATTTAACTCTTTAAAATAGTATGATATTTATGGAGTTGAAAACTGAATCCCAGAAGCTTTGCTAAAATGCTATCCAGGGTTTTATGTTATGCCCTTAAACAAATGAGCTATCGAAGAGCTCCTGATGGTAGCAAAACCTTCTTGAATGGAGTATGAAAACAAATTCTTTTCATTCCACCCTTTGACAGCAGAAGGCCTTAGTGAAGCTTAAGTGGAATACATTAGAAGTAAGCAATATTATTTCTTTTACCTGGGGAATTCTAGTTTTATCATAAAGACTGTGATTTAAGCAGTGGAATTTCATGCAGCTATTAAAATATTGAACCACATGTTCAAGGGCAATAAAGGTAAAAATACATAACTGGTACTACATCAGTCTAAACAGTTTCTTCACAGTGAAGGAAACCATCTACAAAATAAAAAGACACCCTACTGAATGGGAGAAGTTATTCACATATGATATATCTAATAAAGACAATATAAAAAGTATATAAGGAACTCATAGACCTCAATATAAAAAACAATCTGATTAAAAATTGTGCAGAGGATCTGAATAGACATTTCTCCAAAGAAGATGTACAGATGGACACTAGATATCAAAATATGCTCAATGTCACTAATCATCAGGGAAATGCAAAGTAAAACTACAGTGAGATACAGCCTCACACCTGTCAGAAAGTTGTCATCAAAGAGTCCACAAAATAACAAGTGTTGGCGAGGATGTGGATAAAAGGGAGCCCTGAGGCACTGTTGGTTAGATTGTTAAGTGATGCAGCCACTACAGAAAACAGTATGGAAATTCCTCCAAAAATTAAAATTAGAACTGCCATAGTACTCAGCAATTCCACTTCGGAATTTGAAAAGATATATGCAAAAGCAAAAACACTAATTTGAAAGCAAAATGCAAATCAATAAATGTGATACATCATATAAACAAATTGAGAGATAAAAATCACATAGTCATATCAATTGATGGAAAAAAAGCATTTGACAAAATCCAACACCCTTTCTTGATAAAAACTGTCAGCAAGATGGGAATAGAAGGATCATACCTCAACATAATAAAAGCCATATATGAAAAACCCACAGCCAACATCATAATCAATGGGCAAAAACTAAAACCATTTCCCCTAAGAACAGGAACAAGACAGGGATGCCCACTCTCACCACTCCTGTTTGACGTAGTACTGGAAGTACTAGCCATTGCGATCAGACAATAAGAAGAAATAAAAGGCATCCAAACTGTAAAAGAAGAAGTAAAACTGTCCTTATTCACAGATGACATGATACTGTACATAGAAAACCCTAAAGACTCCATAAAAAAATTATTAGACTTAATAAGTGAATTTGGCAATGTAGCAGGATACAAAATTATTGCCAAGAAATCTATGGCATTTCTATACACCAATAATGAAATTACAGAAAGAGAGACTAAAAAAGCAATCTCATTTACCATCACACCAAAAAATTAAGATACCTAGGAATAAACTTGACTAAGGAGGTAAAAGACCTATATGTGGAAAACTACAGGACACTGAAAAAAGAGATAGAAGAAGACATAAACAGATGGAAGAACATACCATGTTCATGGATTTGTAGAATCAACATCATCAAAATGTCCATACTACCCAAAGCAATCTACACTGAGTGGCCAGATTATTATGACTGGCCAGATTATTATGAACACCCCATCAGTACAATGAAGTGAATTAGTTATGCAAATGATAGTAATACTAAAACCTTGAGAGTATTTGCTTAGGAAGTTTTCAATATTCAGTATTTTTGGAAGTGTCAATGAAGTACTGATGGGGTGGTCATAATAATCCAGCCGGTCATAATAATTTGGCCACTCAGTGTGTGTGTGTGGTTTTAAAGATGTTAAGCTGTTGATCTCATTGTACTATTGATCTCATTGTAGTGTATGTACTATTGATCTATTGATCTCATTGTACTATATGTACTAATCCCTGACCTGCTTTTGATATTTGCCAATATCTTAGATATATTTGCATATCTGTCATAGCTCAGTATTTTTAAAAAAATATTTATTAAAGTTTAGTTTGCATACAATATTGATTAGTTTCCATTGTACAACACAGTGATTCAACATTTATATACCTCACAATGTGATCACCACAAGAGTCTAGTACCCATCTGCCACTGTGCAAAGTTATAACGATATTATTGTCTCATTCCCTATGTGTACACTATATCTCCATGACTTATTATTTTACAACTGGAGTGTGCTCCACTCTTCACCCATCCACGAACCCCCTCCATTCTCGCAACTATTGGTTTATTCTCTGTATCTACAGTGTCTGTTTCTGTTTTGTTGTTTATTTTGTTTAAGTTCCAAATATAGGAGAAATTATATGGCACTTGTCTTTCTCTAACATATTTCACCTAGCATAATACCCTCTGGAGTCCATAGATATTGTTGCAAATGGCAAAATTCATCCTTTTTTATAGCTGAGTAATGTCCCATTGTATATATGACACATCCTACTTACTCATTCATCTGTAGATGGACACCTAGGTTGTTTCCATATCTTGGCTATTGTAAATAATGCTGTAATGAACATAGGGTTGCATATATCTTTTCAAATTCATGGGTTTTTTTTGTTTCTTTATTGATTAAGGTATTACATATGTGTTCTTTAATTGCCCCATTGCCGCCCCCCCCCCACTCATGCCCTTACTCCCCTATTGTCTGTGCCCATTGGTTAGGCTTATATGCATGCATATAGGTCCTTTGGTTGATCTCTCCCCACTTCTCCCCACCATCTCCTACCTTCTCTCTGAGGTTCGACAGTCTGATCAATGCTTTTCTGTCTCTGGATCTGTTTTTGTTCATCAGTTTATACTCATTATATTCCATAAGTGAATGAGATCATATGATATTTATCTTTCTCTGACTGGCTTATTTCACTTAGCATAATGCTCTCCAGTTCCATCCATGCTGTTTCAAATTGTAAGAATTCCTTCTTTTTTACCGCAGCATAGTATTCCATTGTGTAGATGTACCACAGTTTTTTAATCCACTCATCTGCTGATGGGCACTTAGGCTGTTTCCAAATCTTAGCTATGGTAAATTGTGCTGCTATGAACATAAGGTTGCATATATCCTTTCTGATTGATGTTTCTAGTTTCTTGGGATATAGAGCCCAGTGCGTGATTCGAAATTGTGCAGCACCGCCCACCCTCGAGTTGGAGTTGATGGTCCGGCCCTGCATCCCTCTCTGGCCCTTGAAGCAGCTGCAGCTGCTGCTGATCAGGCCCGCCCCCAGCACAGGCGCATGGAGGCCCCTGCCGCCCCACCCCCAACACTGCACGTGCAACCTCCTCCTGTCTGGTTGATCTGTTTACAAAGTCCCAGTTAATTAGCATATTTCTCTCTCTCTCTCTCTCTCTCTCTCTCTCTCTCTATATATATATATATATATATATATATATATATGGGCTTCACTGTGTTTCTCTAAAGTATCTGGAGCTCTAAGAAGCAGAGATAATTAGCAACTTACTACAGTAGAGGCAGTTCAACAGCTTAACATCTTTAAAACCATAGAGTAGATACTGTATTTTGAAAAGAGGCAGAATATTAGGACTCTAGAGAAAATGGCTAAAAAATTATCATTATTAAAATGGTCTAGATGTTAACAAAAATAGTCACTCTGTAGAAGGTGTCCTCACTCTGACCTGCTCACCCAAACCAGAACATCTGGGCAGAAAGTAACTCCACCCTCCTTTGTTTTCCCAGAAGAGAAAGGGCAAAAGCTGCAAGGGTAAATACTGGCGAGGAAATTACTCAGAGTTGAGGAAAATACGCCCCCCACAGGGGCTGTGTCTGGGGAGTTTCTTGGGGGATGTGGGGTGGGTAACAACCATACAGGACAGTGCAACAGGAAGCAGAGAGATAAATAAAGGAGCAAAATGGAAGCCAAGGGATGATGCTAATGAGAAAGGGGAAAGTGTGGATTTGAGGGAAACTGGGAGGTGGGATGAATAAGAGGCTTGTCAATTCAGGGCTGGCTTCCTGGGCAGGTGGTCCATGTAGTCACAGAGGGCTTTGTTCTTAGAAGGGCTTATGCTTTCTTTCATCTTCTGCTGTCATCATTTTGAAATGCCTAGTACGTTTTGAATCAGGGGCCCCACATTTTCATTTTGTTCTAGGTCCCACACATTCTGTTTTGTGTGGCACTTTGAGAGGTAGAGGATGGTGACAGGAGGGGCTGGGCGCTACAGGTGCAGGAGACAGGTAGAGATAGCTGGAGGTGTCAGAGTGCTGCTGAGGGTGACAGAGTGGCTCTGCAGCCATTTCCTTGGTATATAAAGTGCCACTAGGAATTGGACAAAGTGATAAAGAACAGCTTGAGCTGGGACGGCGAGTTGCCTGCTTGAGAAAAATTCTTTTCCGGGAGAATTAAGTTTACTATCTAACAATAATATTGTAAGAATATTATAACAGCAATGTTCAACCATCGTAATCTTTCCAGACAAGTGTGATTAGAGGGTATTTATTGCTGTCAAATTATTATTCATAATCTTTTGACATGTGAATCTAAAAACGACATTACTTGTGAGGGGCTGATATCACTTTCAACACTGGGTCTAATTAACTCTTTTTTGGTAAAAGACACTGGAAAGCCAAGCCCTGGGTATCTGAATTGTCAGTGTGGACTCCGGAGGTGCAGGTTGAGGATACCGTGGCAGGCACAGGAGGAGGAGGTCACGTCTTTATGGATTATGCAGGGAGCTATCAAAAAGATGAGAGTAGAATAGAAATTACTTCCATGTGAATTTCCTGAAATAAATTGGATCCAGGCCCCACATTCCAAAACAGTGTATTGAGCTTTCTGACTCTGGTTCTCACCTTCTCAGTCATTGTGCAGAAACCTGCAGCTCCTGCGGGTGGGGCCATATGCAGTTCCTACCATCAGGGCCTGGTAGTGGTGACCCTTGTTTTGTTACACAGGATATGGAACATCTGACAGCCAAAGATCCCAGTTCAAAACCGAAACTCATCTTTCGATCTTCCTATGTTTGATGTTACCCCAGGTGCTTTCATGCATCCCAATACTGATGCATGCTCACATCTTCCTCCATATGGAATTTGTACCATAATTTTGCATTGTACTTAGTGTATCATCTTGAGATTAATAGGTAATGGAGAAAGATATGACTATTCTTCCATGGCTATATATCATGATTGTGAACCACAATTCCTACATCTTATTTTGTTTGTGAAATATCAGTTCAAATATTGTGCCTATTTTTTTTAAATTGGGTTGTCTTTTAATTACTACTTTTTAAGACAATCAAGTAATGATAAAACATAGATGTATCCACATAGTTCCCATTTCCATGCTATCAATCTGTTCAGTATCAGTTTGTTTGAAGTTTTCTTGCAGCTCACTGGTGATCTATCTGTTCATTTATTTAAAGCCATTTTTCTCTGTGTGTTCCATTATGTATAATTGATATTACTGTGTTGAAGTTCATCAATCTTGTCTTCTGCAATACCTAGTCAGTTGTTAATCTCATCCAGTAGTATATTTTTCATTTCATCCATTGTATTTATCATCTCTAGAACTAAAATTTGAGCCTTTTTAATATCTTCCATGTTCAGCAGTTCCCCTAGCTTTTTAAACATATGGAATGCAGTTATAATAATAGTCTTAACACTCAGATTTGTTAATTCTAATAGGCATGTCACTTCTGAGTTGGTTTCCGTTTATGACTTTTTCTTCTCATTGTGTTTCCTATTTCCCTGTTTTTTTTTGAATATATGGTAATTTTTTTCTGGATGCTAGACATAGTCAATTCTGCCGTGTTGGGTACTGAATACCTTTTTGTTTCTGTTAACAATCTTAAGCTTTGTTTTGGAGGCAATTAAGTTATTTGGAAACAATTTGATCATTTCAGACATTGAATTTAATATTTTTAGGTGGGAACACAACAGCGGCTAATTTAGGGATAATATTTCCCTACCCTGGATACAAAACACATGTGGTCTCTACCCAGTGCCACAAACCGGTAAATTAGGAGGTTTACACTCTGGCTAGTGGAACAGGCACTATGAGCTCTGAGTCCTTCCTCTGTTCAGGAGGTTTCTTCTCTTATCTTGGGAAATTTCCAGGGAAATATATACTGATCATGACTCAGCTGAGTAGTTGAGGAGGCTCCAGCAAATCTTTGACATTCTCTCTATGTGCAGCCCTTCCCTTCCTGCTCCCCTGCCCTGTGCCCTGAACCCATCTCTGTCTCTCTCGACCTTTAGCTTAGTTTCCTCATGACTGATCCTGGTCAGCCAGGATTCTCTTCTTTGTTCTGTAGCTTGGGATGTCTCTCAAGGCAGTAACCTGGGGCAACAACTCTCAGAGGCCATAGTTTGTTTTTATTCAGTAAGTTGAGGTGGGAAGGTAAATAATGTCCCTGTTACTCAAATATAGTAGTCTTCCAATGAATCGGTTTTACTTGTACTATTCATTGAAAAGGTAGATATATTGATATGACAGTACTTCTGTTTTATGTGTCCAGGTTCTATAAAAAGTATGCATCATACAACCCAGAAATTTCACTGATAGGCATTTGACCTATTAATAGGTCTTTTATTTTAATAATATGAATTTGTCATTGATGTCATGTGATGCAAATATGGAAAAGTCTTATACAAAGGATGAATAATTTTCAGGGCCAGACACAAAATAAATATATGGGATTCTACAAAAGTTATTAAATATTCAAGATGGCAACCACAGGGCACTAAGCTAAGGGCAGGCTGCATCAACTCCACAGACCATACACTAATGAAGCAAGCTATGACTAATATATATATATATAATATTAATATGTATTTTAACAATAAAGAGTAAGTAAAAATAAGAACAAAATATGTTCCTAAGGTTTTGATCTAGTATATAGTAGAATATCTATAAAATACAATATTATGCAATTGTTAAAATATGTTAGAAGATTAAAGAAACTTTTCACAACAATTCACTTTTACAAGATGGCATGTTGTGTAATGCCTAGTTATCTTATGTAACTAAGCCTGGGAAAGAATATATTCATATATTCACATATATAGCGAGAATGTTGACAGATGAAGATGGAAAGACTGTGAACAGTCTTGTCTGTTTTGGATGAAATAAAATGGTGAAACTATTCTTTTGGCAGTGAGAAACTAAACATTTTTAAAGCAGAAGCATCATGTGATTAAATCTGTCTTTTAGAAAGATAATTCTGATAAATGGTCCAAGATTTTCTAATACGACTATTTGTAAATGAAGAGCACCAAAGCAGTGAAATATTTTTTCTCTTTATACTATCTGCCCCTTCTTTCTTCCCACTGCTCACAGACTCAATTTCCCCTGACGTCTTATAGATGCTCTTCTCTTGTAGGTTAGTTGAGAAACATGAATACATTCTTTCCCAGGTTAGATCCACCTCTAAACTTCCAAAATTGACATTGGAGTTTTCTACCCATTGAAATTTGGAATAAACTGTATCATAACTTGTTAAAATATTATACTTTCATTTTTTTCCCTTTCCTTTAGTGTGCTCGTTATGATAACGCCTTCATTGCAGAGATCCTCATTGACAAAGGGGTCAATGTCAATCACCAGGATGAAGACTTTTGGACGCCAATGCACATTGCCTGTGCATGTGATAATCCAGATATTGTCCTGCTCCTCGTATTAGTAAGTAAAGCAATTACATTTATAACAATTTGAAGATTTAATGGCATATGAAAAGCTATATATTTCTCTATATATATACTTCAGCAGAGAGAAAAATGTGTGCATATGTCATGACTTATTTGCCTGTAATTACAAGATAGAGACTAAGATTGTGGATTACATAATTTGTAAAACCAATTGTATAGATGTCATATCAGGCTCTGCTCTTCTTGCTTTTTTCTTGGTTATTATATACCTTAATACTTCACAAGTCAGTCCTAACTAAAATGCTTTGATAATTGTAATTTTTCAATTCGTTCTTTTAATTTTTAGTCTACTAGGCATACAATAATGAAATATGGCTTGCATGCTTGCATTGAATCTTGTTCTCTTGTTCACATCTAATAAAGAAGTATCTATAACATTCATTTGTATGAAAATTTTAAATGTAAAAATTATTGGAGTTATTTGTTGTTTTCAATTATGGCTTAGCCAGTGGTTCTCAACCTTCTGGCCCTTTAAATACAGTTCCTCATTTGTGACCCAACCATAAAATTATTTTCGTTGCTACTTCATAACTGTAATGTTGCTACTGTTATGAATAGTAATGTAAATATCTGATATGCAGGATGGACTTAGGCGACCCCTGTGAAAGGGTTGTTCGACTGCCAAAGGGGTCGCGACCCACAGGTTGAGAACCGCTGGCTTAGACCCTTATATTAATCCTCATAAACAATACTTCTGTTAAAAAAGAGTGCCAATACTTTATAGACATTTAGTGTGTACTGGTTGAATACATAAATAAACAAATAGTGAATAAATGGCGGGCCTATTTTTGGAAGACAGCCTGAATTTAACATTGCCATTATTAATTTTTATCTAATAAAAGCTGCCTTATAGCCACATTCATCTTTTTACCTGTTCTAAAATTTCTCATTCTACTCATTTTGTACTTATATTCGGAAGTGCTTGCTTCAGCACACTAATCATCTCAGTGTCTGATGATGTTGCTCTTCATTACCAGACAGAATTAAGAAATTGAAACTGGTCTTATTTCATATATAAACATAGATTTAAAATTTTAATTGTCAAGCTATTCACATTTTTATGGTTCTGTCATGCCATTTCTCACATCATAGAATAATCCAACCTTATATGCAAAGTTATATATTTGTTAGTTACTGTTTTTCAGTAAACTTCATATGTTGGTCACTATCACCATTCTTTTAACTAATATTTATTGATTACTAATTTTTGACATAATAATTTCTTCTCTTAAATACATTGCAGTTTATTCATTCAGCAAATATTTATTGAATGTCTACTATGTCCTAAGTCCTACACAATGGACAAAAAAAGACATTTTATCATTTTATCTTATAGAGTAATGGTAAAACCAAACAAAAGCAAGTAATTTAAGTGCACCATCAAGAAATTTATTAATGGATTAAGCAATGCTGAGTAGCCTCATTGCCACTATGTTATAGCTAGCCCACCAGTCATCTACCAAAATAATTCACTTTCCAATAAATTTCAATGAAATACATTGTCATAAAATTGTAATTCATGTAGAAATATGTTCCTGCTAACAGCCTCAAAATTTAGATGCCATTGTACATTTAGTCTTTCATGTTCAATATTCTTTTCATTTTCCAAAGCTTATTGATGAGTAAGGGAGACTGTGCACATTCACTTATTCAATTCATATCTCTGATTGCTTTCTATTCTATACTAAGGGGTTCAGTAGTAAATAAAGGAAGCAAAAGTCCCTGCCTTTTGGAACTTAACATTCTCCTGGGGAGAAACAGGAAAAAATACATAAATGAATAAAATTTATAGTATGTCAACTAAAGAGAATTGCTGGAGGAAGCAAGGAGAATGAAGTAGAGGGTATTAAGGAATAGCCTGAAGCGGAAGGTGATATTGGAGCTGTGAGTCTGTGGAAATGTGGATGCAAAGTGTACTGGGCAGAGGGAGCAGCAGGTGTGAAGCTGTGTGGCGGCACCATGTGCTTGAGGAACAGGAGAAAAGTGCAGCTCCAGTGAGTAGATGAGGTCAGGGCAGGACACGAAGTCAGGGAGGCAGTGGAGCTAATCGAACCTTGCAAGGACGTTAGATCTACTTTTACTACAGGAGATTAAGGGAACCAGTGCAGGGTTTTGAGAAGGGAAGTGATATGATCTGACCTACATTTACAAGATCACTCTGGCTGCTCTGTTGAATACAGATGACGGGAAGGGAAAGGGAATTATATGGATTACTAATAGGAAGCTGTTGCCACTATCCAGACCACACATGGTGGAGGTGATGAGAAGTGGCTGACATCTAGACGTTCTGAAGGTCAAGTTTTAGCATTTGGTGTGGGACTGGATTTAGGGCTTGTTAGAAATAATAGGAGTCACGGATGATTTCCACTCTTTTTTGGCCTGAGCACAGGAGGGTTACAATTTGCTGAAATGCAGAAGAATGTTAGAAGGAGGGGCATGGAGTTGGTTTTAAAAATGAATGCTAAATATAAGAAAAGGCTAACAAAATTACTATGAACACAAGAGAAGAATAAATGATGGAAGAGAAATAGAGAGTTGGTAAATTGTACAATCTGAGAGAGAAGGTGGAAGAATTTAGCTTATAAAGGAGAATAAACACCTCTTTAAGAATAAAACAAAGATTTAATAAATACAAAAAGATCAGTAGTTTGTTAGTAGGAAGTTGAAGGCAGTAGCCTGAAGACTTCAATTTTCTCAGTGAAGTTGAAGTCAAGATCAACTGCTGAGAAAGAGAGCAAATCTTATGTGTGGTCATGTACATAAAGAGTCAATGATGAGGCTCTTAGCTCAGTTCTTATGCCATGGTCCTTATTGGAAACTCAAATTTACTTTGAACCATTTGGATTTATAGCTCATTTTCTAAGGAGAAACATAAGCTCCTGAACTACAGCAGGGTACTCTGTCTCCTAATATTTAACAAATCAAAGTGGTGAAAAGAGTTATTTATAACTAAACAACATAATTATTACAGTAGTATTTAATTCAGGAATAGCCAAAGCAACTATTGAGTGGAGTTTTGGAATGGTTTAATTTTGATCTATCAATTTAAGCCACCCAACACAAACAATTTCCTATTTGAGTTTTGACAAAATTTTTGGGTTGCAGCAGTTGCCGGCAGAACCTATAAAAATGATCTAGTTCCACAGTGCCCATTAGACACAGTTCATGACACACTCATCCAACAGGCAATAAAATTACTAACATCAGATGTTCAATCACAAACAGGCCAAGGATGGAGAAAATATTCTCTGCAATTTCCAGCTTCTCCCACTGTTACTGAAGTGAGACAATGATGAAGACATTACTGAGCACCACTTAGTAAATGGCTATTCATTTTCTAATACCTCCCCTTCAGCCTTCTGATTATAAGGAGTGAGAATATTTCAAAAGTCTCTCAGTATTATGTAATAGTAATAATTCAGCAATTCACTATTGCCTATCACCCCTTTAAAAATAAAACTAATACATGTGACACTTTATCCTTCATTTATCATTATTTATTGAAATTATGTATAATAGTAACATTTATTAAATGGCTGTGGGATATGTATCAAATCATATCCGCCCCAAATTTTTAATAGGAGAGAGAAACAAGCTGAGATGATTAGTCAGGAACACAGGTAATCATTTTTCCCAATACAAATATCAGACAATATTTTACTCAAATTATTTTTCTTTTGCCCCCCAAAAAAGTTTCTTGTGGCTCAAGTGCAATGAACTGTTCAAATGTGCAGATTCATCACAGCTTTAGAACTGCTAACAGAGCAGAGTAACGTAGCAACTGTGGGCGCATTGAAAAATTAAATGTGAAATTTCAGATCTGGCATGCTGCAGATATATGAAAATCTTTAATCCAGTCATCAGAAAAGAAGTGAGATCTTCAAAGTTATCCAGAGAGCATTCCCTATGAAATCGCATTGTGCAAAACAGCAAAGAGATGTCCATTGTTCCTCTGTCAGCAGGCTAGCCATGGAGTGGATTCTGAAGCTATTTTAAAAGCATGTATTCAGGGCATAGATATATTGATACTACATGCTATATATATATATATATATATATATATATATATATATATATTCATATATATATGAACTTATTAAAATAAATATGTCAAGGTTTTCAGGGAATAAAGTTTGACATACTTTGAGTGAATCACTTTTCAGTCTTTATCATTTATTCTTGAATAACCGAAAGCTTTTTAAAATCTTGGAAATAGAAAATTATGGTGAGATTATTTTTTAAAACTAGAAAATTATTAGGGTTATTGAGCACTGATGTTTGAATATGGCACAAATTAGAAAATACTTTTAAAACTTCATAATGTGGAATGCAAAATAAAAAACGTATATATGTGAGATTCTCAAATAGTCAATAAAATAAGGAAGTGAAAGGTTATAATGTAAAACACATACTCTCAACCCCATTAGATACATACATGTGCCCATCCTCCCCTTATCATCATGTCAGACATTTGTCATGCTAATATTTAGAGATTTCTTTAGTATTTCTGTAAATGCTATTCATACACTAACTGCTTAGAATTCTACAATTATGCTTTCTTTCTTACATATTTTGTTTACTTGACATGGTTTGTCATTTATCACGTTAGCAAGGCTACACATAAATACTTAACGTGCTCCAAAGTAGCAATTACTTCAGGATGTTTACAGATGGAGCAGTGAATATGTTTTCCAATATAATTGCGACTGTTATAACAGTTATACTGTAAATTTTGTCATACAGTTAGTTTAAAATTGTTTATTGCTCCGAACATTTGCAATCATTAAAATCTCAAACTATACTTTAATCATAATGAGGGCTTGATACATAGTTCCTTAATGAATAAGTGGATTCTCTAAGTATATGGTCTCCTGTTATCTGCCTCAAATCTAGAACCCGAAAGAAAGCTACATGCTTCTAGTTTTCATTCTCTGCTTACATAGTGGAGAGCTGTGGGAAAGCCTCTGCTTAAGA